TCAACTCCCAGAATTCCCCAGCCAGCAGTGCTGGCTGGGGAATTCTGGGAGTTGAAGTCCAACCTCTTAAAGTTCCCAAGGTTGAAAAATACTGATCTAGAGATTAAACTCCTGGTCAGAGCTCATGCAAAAAAACAGGGAAAAGCCTGGGCTGTGTTGTGAGAAGCTGGCATTCCTCCTGTGACTACTGGGACAATTTTTACATTCAAAGATAGTTTAGAGACAATTTAAGTGAATTGAAACAGGCCTTCAGGGAGACAGAGCTCTGCCGGGAAGAAAAAAGATTTCTCTAGGAATAAAATTCTCGTAAAGATTGTGACTACTGTATATTCGAACAAATGTTCAAACCTAATGTTTAGACATTTAACCATTAAAATTTTAATGTTTTAATTAAAACATTAATTTAATTAATTAGGTTTAAAACCTAATTAAAGCTAATGTTTTTTAACCATGGTTTAATTGTAAGGCTAAGCCATAATAGGAGGGTGAATGCATAAATCACACAAAGAGATTTAAAATAAGCCTTTTTCTGCCTAGATGTCCTGGGCAGATGGCGGGGGGGCTTCAGTTCCCAAAATCCTTAGCTGAGAGTTAGTTTTGCTGGCTGGGGAATTCTGGGAGCTGAAGTCCACACGTATGGAGGGCAGGAACTACGCTAAAAAAGAACAGCCTGCATTATTGGCTAGGCTCAGACATTGTACTAAGCCGCAGTGTGGATAGTTTGATTTTGGTTTTAGTGTGTTGTATGAAAGCAGCTGTTGCAGCTTTGCAAACCATGGTTTAGCACTCACCAGGCTGTATAAACCCATTTACTTGTGGCTTAATTCAATAAACTATAACCAAATGTGAGACACTGTGTTATGTCTCTGGAGCCCAACTCTTTTTAAAATTACTTTAATTAAAATACTCTTTGAATTCCTCTAATAACACTTGAGGACACTTTGTGCTGCAAAATAATCTTTAAATAGGATATTCTAAAAAAATTAAAACTGAGATAAAACGTCTTCATTTTGCTCTGTAAATACTAGTGAAAATCAGTATTACAGTCAGTACTTTTGCCTATAAAATAACACTGTCCAAATCAGATATAATACTAAAATCTCCTTAGTGCACAGGGGCCTGAATGATCCTCCACTAAGCCACATCCAGTTTTAAGGTTTGAACTCCCCAGCCAGTGTTTCTCAACCTTGGCCACTTTAAGATGTGTGGACTTCAACTCCCAGAATTCCCCAGCCAGGGGAATTCTGGGAGTTGAAGTCCACACATCTTAAAGTGGCCAAGGTTGAGAAACACTGCGGTGTAGGGTTATTGTTAAAGCTTAAAGAAGTCATGGGTTTAAATTATGGTTCTAATTGTTATGCCACGATCACACACTGGCGTCCGAATCCAGCTTCTGCCTTAAAACCTGTTCGCTTAATTGTGGTTCCCATTTAAGTGCAATTTTATTTATTTATTTGTTTGCTTATTTATTTATTTCGATCCAGTGAGGTGGATGGTCGTCTCGCAACAGCGACTCTGGGCAGCTAGCAAAGTTAAAAGTCAATACATGATAAACCATAGTCGGTTCAAATACGAGAGTGGGTGTTTCTGAATTCATAGTACGGCTCCTCTAATCCGGCAGGCAGGGTTTGGATTTATTTATTATTTTATTGATTGATTTATTGTTGTATGCCACCCATCTCTCCCAGAGGGTGACTCTGGGCACCTCAATTTAATTTGGATTTAATTTAGAAGGCCAGAATAGAGAGGAACCGGAAGGAGTCTAGAGGGTTGACTATCTAAAGGTGGGTTAGTTCTAAGGATGAGGGGATAAAACTGGTTCCAAATCCGTTTTGTTCTGGTTCTTCTTTAGTAAAAATAATAAACTGCAGTTGTTGGAGGAACACACGCACGTGCACACACATTGTTGCATTTGGCATCAGGTCCCTGCTGCTGTTTTTTATCTGACCCGAAGAACAGGAAATGGCATTGTCTTCCCTGATTTGCTCTGAAACTATCAGCAGGTAAGTGCTTCTTTGGATCTTCATCTTTGGAAGAACTAATTACAAGTGCAGCATTATGTTCTGTGCTACCAGTTAGCTTTGCACGGAAATCTGGAAAAGGCAAAAGGAGTTCTCCGTCCCTGGAGATCCTCCATGGAGACCGAGGAGTTAGAGATCAGGAATTAAGCTCCCATATTCTGCATTGCAAATCCTACATAGGACTGGTGGGTGGACTAGATCAGCGTTTGTCAAACCTGGCAACTTTAAGAGGGGGGGGCCTTAAACACCCCAAAATTCCCCCCCAC